TCCTTTCTATTTTTTTTTTTTTAATTTAAAATTAAAGGAGGAAAACATTAACAGACAGACAACCTTTTACAAAATAGCAAAAGAACAATACAGACAATACAGAGTTACAAAGTGGTAGGAAATTAGCAATGCTTGTTGTACTACATATTGATATCTTCAAAGTGGTTTCTCATGAAAACAGATAGAGACATGTAGTATTGATCAATAAGAGACTCATTGACAGTTTCTTTCAGCAAAGAAATAGAAGACAGGAGAACAACTATGTTAACCATCCTGTGTATAACTACATACAAAATTTCTCCTTTCCCTTCACTTTCCCCACATACCAGTTGCCCTTTACCCTTGAGTGTTTTCCTATCATTTCACAATGTCTATCATACCTCTGAGTTGAAATTAACTCTTTCAGGTTTTACACGAGTGAGACAATGCGGTGCCTGCACAGCAGGTCTGATTTATTTCACTTTTGAATATGGTGTCTAGTTGTGACCATTTACCTATAAAGGCCTTGGTTTTATCTTTCTTTATAGCTGAGTATGTTTTTCTTTAAATTCAGGTCATTTTTTTCTCTGTCTAGAATATCTTTTAGTACTCTTTACAACAGTGGTTTGGCACTCATAAAGGTCTTCATTCTGGTGGAAATATTTTTTTTTTCTCCTTTGAATTTGAGGGAGAGTTTGGCAGGGTACATCAGTCTTGGTTGCAGGCTGTTTTGTCTTAGGACCTGTAATACTTCACTCCAAGCTCTTCTTGATTAGATGGTTTCTGTTGAGAAGTCTGCCATGATTCTGACTGGCTTTCCTTCATAGGTAGTCTGTTTCTTTTGTCTAGCAGCTTTTAATATTCTGTTCTTTTGCTGGAAACCTGGGAACCTGACTATTGTATGTCTGCGTGTGGTTTTATTTTGGTTGTGGTTGGTTGGAGTTCTGTATGCCTCATTTAGCTATATATCAGGTTCGCTTTCCATGTTTGGGAAATTTTCTTGTATTATTTCTGCAAATATGCTTTTTATGTCATTTGTGTTTCCTCTTGCTGTTTCATTGACTGCTATCAGTTGTACATTATTCCTCTTTGCCTCATCTTGCAGCTATTGAATTGATTTTTCCTGGTTCCTTGTTGATTTCAAGAGATCCTTTACTTCACAATTACTAGCTGCCATGTTGTCTTCAAAATCTGAAATTCTATCTTCAATTTCATTCAAGGGATTTTGGCAGCTTTCAGTGGAAGCTTTGATTTCCTGGATGTCTCTTCGAATGTGGTTCATGCATTCTAATTCACTCCTATATTTTTCATTTAATGTTTCTATCCGTTGCCTATGTTCATCTATTTTTTTAAATATGTTTCTTCTTTAGATATGCTGAGCAGTTCTTTCATAATTATTGTCATTTCATTTTTTGCCTGAGAGATTATTTCCAACCTGATCTCTTCTGTGGTCTGATGGAGTTGTTTCTTTTCTTCCATTGCAATCATTTCAGCTTTTTTAGGTGTGTTTACCAAGTTCTCCTATGTCGATGTCTCCTTGACTTGTTCTGATTTGGGTGGAGTTCTGAGATTGTGTTTTAGTGCTTCATCTTGTCATGTTTGATACTTGATGCAGAACACTCAGTCTCCCTCTTCCCTAGCAGCTGAGCAAAGGTCACTAATATCCCTAGTTTTCCTGGTAGTCAGGATTGCCCTTCAGTGTCCGCTGAGATGCACTGCTCAGTCCGGGGTTTTCTGGCAGATCGTGAAGTATCTAGTGTATCTAGTGCTCCCAGGTCTCAGACACAAACCATGATGTCAGCTGATGGCAGATCATCTGATGCAGCATCCCCTCACAGCTCAGGGCATGTGTATGACCGGTCATTGGGTTGCACTGGTGGCACAATCCCAGACCACTGGTCCTGTGTCCCCAGGCAGTTCATGGTACAGTCAAAACCCGGACATGAACTGCAGGATCAGCATTTTTTGGACCACCTGATTCTGTCTCCAGGCAGCTCAGGACACACACAGGAGGTACACACGGGCTGCACTGGCAGTGATCACAGACCGCCTGTGCCTATGACCTCCAGGAGGTCAGTGTGCAAGTAAAGCCCAGATCTGAAGCCAGCAGCTCGTGGAGCCCCTGCTCTAGTACCTCCCTTGGTGGGCAGGGCATGCACAGGGAAGGCCCACAAGCCAACCCTGGTGATAGCAGTTTGCAGGCCTTCTGAGTGAGGATCTCCTGACTGCACTCAGTGCACAGAGGGCAGAGACTCATCTACTGTGATTTTGTTGGCTTTCCTGTATAGGTGTTGTGTTTCTTTTCTTTAACAGCTTTTAATATTCTCTTCCTATGCTGAATTTCTGAAACCTTGATTATTACATGTCTTGATGTAGTTTTATTTTCATCAAGAATGTTTGGAGTTCTAAAGGCTTCCTTTATTTATATGTCAAATTTTTTATCCATGCTTGGGAAGTTTTCTGCCATTATTTCTGTGAAGAGTTTTTTAATGTCATTTGTGCTGGCTCCAACTTTCTCATTGACCCCAGTCAATCTCATGTTATTTTTCTTTGCTTCGTCTTGTAGCTGTTGGACTGATTTTTCATGGTCTCTTGATAATTTTAAGATATCTTTCCTTTCATTATCACAAACTGTTCTTCTGTCTTCAAGATCTGAAATCCTGTCCTCCTCTTTGTTCAACCTGTTACATATACTTTCAGTGGAGCTTTTTATTGTTTGCATTTCTGTTTAGATCTGTTTCATGGATTCCATTCCTTTTCCTATGCTGGTTATTTTTTGTTTCTATCATTTTTCTAAGCTCATCTATTCTTTTATCTGTGTCTTCTCTAATAGCTTTCATTTTAAGCATCATTTGTTTTTGTACCTGAGAGATTATTTTCTCCATAGCCTTCTCCACTTCTCTTTTCATTTCTGCTGCTCTCATTTCAGAAAGTTCCAGTGTTTGATTTCCAATCTCATCTATCTCCTTGAGTTCTGGGCTTGTCCTGGGTGGGCTGGGTGTCTGGGGTTGCCTTTTGCTTCTGACTCTTCTCATTTTCTATTTTCTTTTTTTTTATTTGTTTTCTGTGTTGATATTTGCCAGTTTCTTCTGATATATAGCTTTATCGCTAGTATTTAGGTTTCCCTACAGGATGTCTGTTCCTTATGGATGTCTTCTAGATGTAGGTTTCTTATAGCTATCCCAAAGCCCTAGCTTCCCAATTTGTAAAGGATGCAAGATTACTATTTTGCTCAGCTCCCATTCCTTTGATATTGGACTGTGGTGGTGATTATGACCTCATACAGAGTATTATCATACAGGGGAGAAAAACTTCATAACATGTATGACATCCTGGCTAAAGTAGTACAGTTAGTAATGAGAACAGTTTCAAGTACAACTTTACTGATAAACTATGGTAACCATTAACCTGTTACCTCTGACCACGTAAGTAAACTCTTAATTATGTAACAAAATCAAGCTTATTCTGTGCACTTGTATGCAGTGATTTTCCCCTTAGTCGGGTGATTTTACCCTTCTGTCAGGAGCAGTGGGGTTAAGATGGTTAGGGGGATGGGCTAAAGTGATGTGTGAAGTTAAGTAGAGTTAGCACTGCAGGTTAAGGGATGATCACCCAAGTTTTGGGAAACTGGAGGACACAGGAGGGAAAGAATAAAATTGAATTCAAAGTAGTCAGAAAGGGTAGAGAGGATGTTTCCTCACTTGAAAATTTAAATTCAAGAAGTAGTTGAGGATAGAGAGAAGGTGGGTGTATAGAAGAGAATGAAAAAAGGTAAGAAATCTAAACATTGAAAAAACAAGAGAAAAAGAGAAAGAGAATGAAAATGAATAGGAGAGAAGAAAGAAAGAAAAAGGAGAGGAGAGAAAAAAGGAAAAAAAACCCAAATACAAAAATAACTACTAAATACAGAAGGAAAAAGATGACATCAAATCAGACAGGAGAGGGATATCCAATCAGACAAATGAGGGAGAATGAAAGTAGTAAAATACCTCTAGTGTTTATAGTTCTGTGATAGTGTCCATATTTAATCCCAGAAATGTGTTGAATGTGGAGCTGACCTTGGCCTCTGGATGTGGGCCTGGCCTTGAACTTCTGCTGTTGGAGTTCTCATAGTCCAACAGCTGGCTCCTCGCTGCTGTGTCACACTATTCCTTGCTGCTGGTCTCACCAATTACTCTGCCCTCTAAAGGCGTGTGTGCACCTGTGCACCTGGGACCCAGCTGTTGTCCTGGGTCTCAGGTCTTGGGATTCCTGTCAGTCTACTGGACAAAAGCGTGTGTCCTTACTCTCCTTTCAAAGACCCCGCGGTCCCCAAGACAGTGCAGGAAGCACAGAGCATGGATTCACTTTCCTCTCGCTGGCCCCGCTGTCGCAGAGGGTATTCTTAGTCCCAAGAGTTACTTGTTTCTCAGGCCTTCAGTTCTTTTTATATAAGTATATATATTTAAGAGATGATTGATGTTTTTTTCTAACTTTATAAAAGTATTTTTAAAAGGCACACTACATAAAATTTCTAACATTCAAGACTAAGAAAGGAAACAAAAATACCTTAAAATTTCACCACCCAGAGATAACAGCTGTTGTTTCTAAGCTTTCCTTGTTTATTAAGGTCCCATTTTAAAAAGTAGCTCAAATAATGTCTTACAAGTGTGGTACTGAAGTAAGGATGCTTGTCAATTTTTCCACCAGTTCTGAGTTTTTTATTCTGTCAAATTCAGTTTTGTTCATAAACCTCCTTAAAAGTTGTTGTTTTATAGGTAGTATTGTAGATTGATCTGACACATAAGTATTGAATCTGATTGGTAGGGTAGTTCTCCTTTATATTTTTATGGCATGATTAGTGAGAAATAATGATGTAGATGCATTGACAATGTTAAATGTTCATCTGAATGGCTAAATTGACTGTTGTTAAGGTGTTGCACTATCCACTACTGAGTACTTTACCGCAAACCTCATGTCCAGGCCATGAGTAGAGCCCGAGCACTCAGATCCCAGTTGAAGGACTCTGCTTCTGCCTTCAGTGCTAATGACCTCATGAGTATGGATCTTGCTGAACAGATGGCAGATGACTCTGATGACAGCATCTTGGCAGCACCCAAGCAGAGGGCGAGGCCGAGGTCGAGGGCAGAGCTTGGCCCCCCAAGGAGGATCTCAGAGAAGCAGAGGTCAGCGCTGTGTACTGTCTTTTGCACACTTACCACTTGAAAGCTGAGTTGGAAATTGAGGGTTGTGTCCTTTTGTTTTGTTTTGTTTTTTTGAAGGATTGTGTCTCGTAATCAGAATTCAGCTATGAAGTTAGGTTTCTAAGGTACAATTTTTAAAAAATTTATTTGCACAAGGTCTTTAATACAGTTCTAACATGTACCTTTGACTTAAAAGAATTTTGAATGGCCACTTGCAACACAGGGTTTTAATTGTTCCAAACCCATATTTTTAAATACTTCTTTGCATTTCTCTTATAGTACATTTTGGGTACTTTATTGTTGCACTTTCACATGTGTTAAGTAATAATAGATATGTAAATTGTTAAAGAAAATGTCGGGGTAATATCCTGTCCAGATCATAAAAATGACTTTTGTTACTGTCATAAGATAAAATACATGCTTATAAAATGGTCTCCATAAAAGTTACTTAAAAAGGAAAAGTCCCTCAAAACAATTTCATTTGTAAAGGCGGTCATTAGCATTAATCGTCATCACTGTATTTAATTTGATGAATAATAGAAAATGGTCATACAGTCACTTCTGATGTAGATTATAGATTTTTATTTTCATTGAATAATTATCCATATGAATTTTAAGCTAGTAAAATGAATAGGTTTTTAATTTAAAGTCTCCAGGGAAAGAAGTTTCCATTTTATAATGATGATTATTTTCATTATCCTTACATTGATACAATTTTTCCTTAAATTTTAATTAGACAAATGTGAACCAGATGTAGCCTAAAAGAACAGTCTCTGCAAATTTACCAGACTGTAGATGTTCTTATTATAAATACCTTGGCCTTTTTACAAACTCTTTTGATATAACTTTATCTAGCTCTCGTTTAGGTGCTATGTAAAAAAGACCATAACTTTTGTGTGATTGTATATTAACTGCCCATTTTTCTACTAGCGGGCACTGGTCTGAATATTTCTACTCGAAGCAGGGCTCAAGGACCACTGTGTCAACATGCAGAAATACGTCTATCTTAGATGGTGAGTACAAGCTATAAATGATTATCTAGGTGTTATAAATTCTGACATAGGAAGACTGAAGAAATTTCCATTTATACCGCACATTTATTTGTGTTGTAGTCATTGTGGTCTTAACAGTTAAGATCATGGGATGCATTATAAGATTTTTGTCACAGATCAGAACTATTCAAGAGTTAGTAAGCTTTAATGGGTTTTTTTAAAACAAATGTAGTTCCTTTTACTTGTGACACAGGGATAATGACTATAGAAAAATGAAGCAGTGAGATCTAATGGAGGTGGATGGGAATGCCCAAATCACTGATTTAAGTTAAGTATCTGATAAGATAAACTTGGAAGACTTAAGAACAACTTTGCTTATGCACTCATTTTATGGATAAGGGAATTGAGCTAAGCCAGTTTGTCCTGGTAGATAAAACCACTAATAACATCGATAATATCTAATATTTATGAAATACCTCTCCACAGCTCTGTGCAGTAGGTATTTATATTATCTGTGTTTTACAGAAACAGGAATTGAGGCCTTGAAAAAATGGGAAACTCACCCATGGTCTCATGACTATCAGTAGTAGCACTTGAATTGATCCCATATTTCCTGGACTCCAGAACATGGTACTATGAGGTATGGTCTAAAAAATACATGAATGTTTAAGTTTAAAACAATATTATAATAAAAGGCATTGCCATTAGTCCACCTTAAAATACTCTCCTTTACTTTCTGGTGTTTTTTTGTTTGTTTGTTTTTGTTTTTGGGTTTTTTTCAGTACCGGGAATTGAACTCACGACCTTGCGCTTGCCAGGCAGGCGCTGTACCACTGAGCTAAATCCCCAGCCCCTCCCCTTCACTTTCAATGCACATTCTACTATTTTTGCCACTTTCTGGAGCAGCTCTGAAAGTCCTCTTTGGTATCTTTAGTTGTGCTCTTTAGCTACCTTGATGTCCTAAATTGATTCAAAATGCCTATCTTTCATGGTCATTTTGACTTTAGGGAACAGCCAGAGTCAGATGGTACCAGACCCACTAAATAAGGTTGGCAGGGATACATCATAATGTTTTATGAGTTTGCCTTCCCAATGTATGACATTTGGCAGCAGCACTCACTGTATTTTTGATTATATATTGTAAAGACACTCAGAGGACTTCCAGAACTGTTTCAGAAAGGGGCAAGAATGGTGGGGTAGAGTGTGTATGAGTGTATGGGGAGTATTTTAAGGGAATTAATTGCAGTGTGCCTTTCATTGTAATATGTTTATTTTAAAAATTTTTAACATTCACCATATATTTTGATCATCCCTTGTAGTTTTCAGAGCAGGGTAAGATTAGAAACCTAGTTACTGGTTCTTAGTAGCGGAATCCCTAATTAATATAAAAATGCAATAATTTGCTTTAGAAGGAAGTGTTGTCACTCCCTTAAAGGGAAGTGTTTGACCGTTCTTGAATGACACCTGACGTTAGAGAAAGCACACAAACATCAAATCATTTAAGGGTCATAAAGCACCTTCTTACCAGAAACTTTATTGCTGTCTTTTAACTCGAATATTATTCATTGCTTCAGAAAACCCCTTAAGACCTTTTGACTTCAGAAACCTGTTTTTGTTACTATTTAGAGAGGAACATTTAAAAAAGATTTCATTCCTGGCAGATGGAACACAAAAGTAAAGAAGGGCAGAAAAAGAGAGAAAGGGCAACATGGTATATTGTAAAGGATCCAGCCTGAGTTCAACTCAAAGTTCAACATGGAAAAAACATAGTTTTAGACAAACCACTTACTGTCCTAACTTGTTTTACATGTAAATTGGAAATGGTAGTAGATTCTGTACTTGATTCTAAGAAAATAAATGGAACAAAAAGCTTGGCAAATACTGTAGTAGGAATATGAAATGTTGCTATAAAAAAGTGAGAAAAGGGGCTGAGGATTTAGCTCAGTGGCACAGCACCTGCCCAGCGAGTGCAAGGTCGTGAGTTCGATTCCTGGTACGGGGGGGGGCGGGGGGAGTGAGAAAAAGAGGAACATAGTAAGTGAGTAAAATATATGATAATTCCATGTTAACCACTAAAAGTTGGTTGACGTGCAAGTGACAAGTGATGGTGTTATAGGTTGTAGATACCTGTGTTACTTTTCTTTTTGGTACCAGGACTTGAACTCAGGACCTCATGCTTGTCAGGCAGGTGCTATGCCACTGAGCTAAATCTCTGGCCTGATGCCTGTGTTTACCTTAGCTCACATGCCTTTCCTCCTCCTGGTTTGTTTTCTGTGACATATTCCTTGACACCAAAGGGTAGAATTAATCACTTAAAATGAATCTTGTTGTTTCCACTGTTGTTTAGACATCAACTATTAGTTAAGCTTGTAGCTTTTCTTAAGTAATCTATTTCTCCTCAGTTTGCTGTCTTGGGTGTTTTATAGTTTTGCTACCATGAATCTAAATATGGAATAATTCTTTTTCTTAAACCTTTGTAGGATTTATTGGACTTGATAAATCAGTGTGTCTTTTATTATTTGCAGAACATTCTTCATTATTGTCCCTTCAGATATAACCTCTCCTTTACCTTCCCTCTGGGTGTTTGATTAAATTAATATAAGATCTTTTTATTTTATCTTCCAGGACTCAATTTCTCTCATACCTTGTTTTCTCTTCCTGTGCTACATTCTGAATAATTATACCTGATCAATGTTCTAATTCATCTATTCTAAAAACAATCCTTTGAATATTTAAATTTTTTTTTTTTTTTGCAGAGCGTAGTTTGAGAGAGGGTCTTGCATTCCAGCCTTGAACTAACTGTATAGTTCAAGTTGGCCCTGAACTCTCTGTAATCCAGCTGCCTTAGCCTTCTGAGTGCTGGGATTGCAGGCATGTGCCACCACACCCAGCAATCTTTTATTTCTAATAGTTTTTAAAACTTTTCCTGGTGATGTTTTTGGCCCATCTTTAATTTTTTGTATGTGCAAAGTAAAGTTGCTTATTTCATGTTTTGTGCCTAATAACCTAATGTTGGGATGTCTTTAGCCTCTTTACTCTGTTTCTGATTTCTGTTTCTGTTGATTTTCATTTGTCCTGACTTACTTTCTTGCATGCTTTGCTATTTATTCTTTTTAGAAACTTATAGGAATAATCTTGAGATACTGGGTGAAGCTGAGTTTGAGGCTTCTAGGGCACCTCAAGTCTTAAATCACTTTAAACTAGATGTAGGATAATCAGAGGGTTATCTAAGCCAGTCTGGTAACCCGTGCTTGTGAAATCTTGTCTGTCTCTACTTGAGGGTCTCCACTATGGTAGGGAGGATATGGGTGGGGCTTCCACCTTGGGCAGACAGCTCCCTCCCTTCTCCTCTAAGTCAGTGTTAACATTTTCCTTGAACAACAGGTGTCCTCAGGGAAAGGGACTGCTTGCTTTTCTGGCTTCTAACTTTTCTTCATCTTTGGCACAATAATTCCTTGTTATATGATGAGCTCTTCAAATGCCATTGGGAAATTTTTTTTCTTAATATTTGAAATAGCAGCGTGGGTTGTTTTCAGCAGAAGGATCTGTCTGAATAACTTAGCCTACAATGAACAGTTCATTGAATCTTATTTATTTATCTTATCCTTGCTTATAAATTGAAACTCACATGTGGCTGCTTCCTTTTGTATGGAGGACTCTGCATCATAGGGGCTTAGAAAACATACTTTACTTTCCAATGTCAGTTCTTTTTAGAACCACTATGCAGTGATGCTTTCAAAAGCATCCTTAATAACTGCTGCTGTTAACCAGTGGTGTGAACTAAAGCTGCCTTTTGTGTAGAAATACCAGAAACCAGTTATTGTGCTTTACAAATTAGCCTTACTTGAGTTTTTTCAGTAAGAATATTCATCTGCAGAGGAGGCTACGTCAGTAAACCAAATTAATACGAAGCTTCAGATATTTTGAATTATATCCTAGCTTAAAACCTTACTGTGGTGCCCTGTGCAGCGTAACATTGTGATCAAAGCCCGGGTTCTGGAGTAGGTTGGGTTTGGTCTAGTCTGGTGCCCTCATGTGGTCAGTGCTGTGAAGACAGGGATTGAGTCATTCAGGTTCATCACTGTTTCCCCTGTGCCTGGCACAGTGCCAGTAAGTGCTCATTCAATGCCTGAGAATGACCAGATGAAAATCATTTGGAGATTATATAGCATAAAGGTTTAAGAGAGTGGTTGTAAAGTCAAGAAAGAACTTTGTTTGAATCCTAACTCCTCAATTGACTAGCTGTGTATCCATCAGCAGATTACTTAAGTTTTCCATCTTTCATGACTTTCAGTATCATCATCTGAGATGGGGTAATGGTTGCTTCTACCTCCTTGGGTTGTGTTAAGGATTGCTAAGAAAATGCATGGGAGTTAAACCTGGTACAGAATCAGTACATGTTAGGACTTCAATAAGAGTAAATTGTGGTTATTCAGTAAGCCTCAGATCTCTCAATATGAAATTAACAATGTGGTACTAGTTCAAGGTAAAATTATTTTAAGTAAACTTAAGTATACATAGTACCTTAAATAGTAACTAGTAAAAGCTCAGTAGGTGGTTCCTGCTGTTGTGCTAGTGGCGGTTTTATAATAAATTTGTGAAGCATATTTAAATATATACTTGCTTTGTTTGGTGATGTGGAGATTGAACCCAGGCCCTCACACATGCTTGGCGAGCTCTACCTCTAAAGCTATATTCCATGCCCAAGACGAGCATTACATATTGTCAGGACTGGCCTGAGAGAGGCATCGAGCTGCCTGGTGAAAACGGTAGACTCTGCATTACTGGCAATAGCTAACCCTGGTAAACAAGAAGCAAGGGCAATAAAAAATTAAATGTGAAGCTAAGGTCACCCTGAAGTCCCCTAATGCCAGCTCTGTGTACCAACTTGTGCTAATTGCCGCTACAGCCTTAAACTCAGACATTTTACCCAGATTTCTTGAGATTCCTTAAAATTGCACCCCCAACCTTAAAACCTATATATGTACAGACCCCTCCACTTAGATATTTGCTGATACTCCCTCCGATGTCAGCCTGCCTGTAAGTAGGGGAATAAAATCTGATCTTCCCACAGTTTCAGGCTCCAGGTGGTTCCTCACATGCTGTTATTACACATATTACATGTACATCATTGGTCTAAATTTGTCTTCATCTAACTGATTTGATCTAAGGGTTTTGCTAATTTAACTGATTACTTCCAATATGGGCCTTGAAAAAACTACCATGAAACATTTTTATCGATTTGGTGTTTTTTAAATCTAACAAAATACACCTGGGGTATTTGTCATTATACTGGAACAAAAGCAACCTTCAAGTTATAACTTTTAGATACTCCTTATAAATGGAAACATGAAGAGATAAATAAAGGCCAAATTGTGTTATAACAACCTTGATGGAATATGGAGACTTATTGTCCAACTGAAATTTTGTTGAGAAAGGTGGAAATTACACTTTTAGCCAGCAGCAGTTGTAAATAAAAATTGACAGCCCAGATTTTTCCATTGACGTTAGTGTGCAGAGGATGGCAACTGAGCAAATGAAAGACACCTCTGTGCCCCCTGCTCTTATGTGTAATTTTCCACCATGAGAGCTCCACTGCGGCTGCTACATTTCCTGCACTAACAGCTGCCGTATGTGATGCCTGCTGCCTGGTGGGCACTTGCCAGAGCAATTTGCATTAAATACCTCTTTGTCCTTTCCACATTGTCTGTCTGAAATGCTAATGCTATTTTACAGGTGAGATAATTGAGATTTAAAGAAGGTAAGGAATTTGGCCATAGTCACCTAACTAGGAAGAAAATCAGTAAATCCAAAACCAGATCTCTTAGCCACCATATTACCTCCTTGAGAAAACATAGTGCTTATTTTCCTGATAAAGTTGTTTCATAATTTATTTCACAAAGTTTTTTTAAAAATTCATTAATCTTTTACTATCCACTGGAGATTGAAAGAAAGGTTTCCTGTTTTCAAGGATTGCAGAGTTGAGCAAACAGTGAATAAGTATGGAGCAAAAATAATCTTTGACAGTCTCATGATCACTAGCTTTTCTGTTCATTAGCCCAGTCTAGCCTTTTTAGTAAAGTAGGATGTGAGACCAGTAATTGAGAAAGCAGATGAAAACTTTACTTTTGCCTTTCATGTCTTCTCTTAGACAGACATTACAAGATTAGGATAGAAACTGAAACAGAAAACATGAGGAAATAATTAATGTAGGTGAGGTAGAATGATTCCTAAGGTTTGCTGGCTAGGAGAGGGATTCTTTAGCTGTTTGGTTTTTCTATTCCCCTTCCCTTCTTTGCCCTGTTCAGGTTGGGGTTGTCTTGGGGAGATACATTTAATATTAGCAAACTGGCAAGGCTTATAAAAAAAATAAATTCAATAAAGTATTTAAAATTTAGGTTTTGATCACAGGAAAAAATAAGGGAAAAGGTAAAGAGTTAGCTAAACTTCAAGTTTCCAAAGCAAAAAACATAAGGATTCAAAGGGAAGTTTTATCGTGTAGTAAAAGATAGGTTATTGTGTAGAATTACCCCTGGTATATTCTTTAGGGACTGAATATTGGCTGCCAAAGTAGAAAAGAATGAGAAAGCTTCAATGAGTAGCTGCAGAAAATCTGTCATTAATTACAAAAAAAGAAAGGGATTAGGCACTTTACTTTCATTGAACTTGTGGTTCAGTTGGCTGGGTGATTACATTTTATCCTTAGGGTATTTTATAATAGAGCATTTTAAGTGTGGGTCTATTTATAAATACTACTTGGTACTATATTTGAATAAACTAGGAAAGCATGAGACAGCTAGACATTGAACATATAATTCCATATCCCTTCTGATTTTAAAAAATGTACATGGTTTTATAATTGATGATCATGGATTTTTGCACGCAGGAGTTGAAAAACCTACAGCTAAAGAAATGTACAGATTTTGCTATTTTAAGAATTATGTAATAGATATTTCATGTTTTATATTCTAGCTTTTAAGTCTTCAAGACAGCAGCCCTCCTGCAATGTTGCTACTAAGAATTATTCAGAGGTAAGAAAATTTTATAGGTTCTGTTTTAATAATCTTTGTTTCTTTCCTTATGAATTGTGAACTGTTTTACTTACAAAGTAAGTAAAAGAGGAAAATGTATGTAACATTAAAGCTGATTCCAGTTATCTACTGTAAGGGAGTCTAGGAGTTATTTTTCTTATTTTTCTTTTTCTAATAAGTAATGGTCCAAACTTTTAGAAACCTGTTAAGTATTTACATACAGTAACATTTTTAAGGATAACAATGCTGAACCCAAAGTAGCATGGAATACTAATATTGAAGGCTGTATCAGTAGACTCCAGACAGAATAAGTGGTTGAAGGATCTTTGCATTCTGCTCTAGACTTAGCATGAGCCTTCTGTTGTTCCTCAGACTTCAGAAGAGTCTGGTAGGGCCTTAACTTCTGTTCCCTCACTTTCAAACTCTGTGTGTCTTAACTCGAAACCAGTACTCTTCCTCCCATATCAGAGTTTCTCAGTAGCAAGCCTGTTAACATTGCAGATCAGATGATTCCTTTTTGTGAAGGAATGCCTGATATGTTGCAGGATGTTTAGCTGCATCCTTGGCCTTAGGTACTATCCTTGGCTTCCTCCTCATTTGCACGTCAAATAAAGACTAAGCTCCTGTGTGTGTCAGGAGTCAACATAACAAACTGTAGAGGAATTGTTAGTATTTGCATGATGGAATGAGAAATCAGAAATGTCTTTATTCAATCTTAACACCTACAAATGGTACTTAAGAGGGCTAAAGGTGACGGAAAGCTATCTAGTGCTTCCCACATGGTCTAATACCTTACACCTTCAGAATACTGAAAGATTTAATTCCTCATCAAAACCCAAAATGAAAATCACAGGATATAGCTGTACTCAACGCTATGTGAGTCACTCACCAATCTAAGTGTTTTTTAGGGTCCAGACTTCTGAGATGGCCAGGAGAGAAAGACCCACAGTCCATCATTTATGAATGGAGAGGGACATCGAGGAAGGTCACATGGGCTTTTGTATTAATAATTGCTGCTTCTGTGGTTCCTGGCTCTTTCTGTGCCTTTTTTATATGTGGAAAAAAAGCTACATTGTAATTCAGTTATGTAATTGATTTTTTATATAGGTGTTTTATTCTCAAGAAAACTATTGTTATTCTTCCCTTCCCTTCGGTAATTGAGGTAGATGAATCAGATGAGGAAGAAGACATTTTCCCTGCCACTTCAAAGACAGATCAAAGGTAGGTCAGACTTCCTTAAAAAAAAGGTTGAAATTATACAGAATTTCATAATTATACATTTTTAGCATGCTTTTTGAATTATTTTCCAATATTAAAGTTTTATAGAGAAATGAAAAAACAGATGAAAGCCTAGTTCATAGACCTGATGCAGCATTATTGCAAGCATTTTTATTGAAAATTTAATTAACTTAAAATTTGCCTGAAATTCCAGCTACTCAGGAGAATCACAAGTTCAAAGCCAGCTTGGGCAATTTAGTGGACCCCTGTCTGAACATTTAAAAAGGTGTTGGGGCTGTAGCTCAATGGTGGAGTGCCTAACCTTGGTGAGGCCCTGGCTTAAGCCCTAGGACTAGGGAGAGAATTTTAAATAACTTGGTTTTTATTTCTTTTTGTATTTATTACACAGTGATTTTCTTGACCAGTGACTTAGTTTCCTCAATGAATAGAAAATAATTTTGTGTTTTGTTACTAATTTGATTTCACCTTTTTAATTATCAAATTTTATATACTTAATTACTCATGGTGCTGTGCTAAACACCATGAGGAGGGTCATACACACGTACTCTGCCTTCAGAGTACTTACATAATCTGATTCTTTGTTTCTTGCCTGATGCTGTTAAGGTTGACCTGACTCAGTGTTACTGTTTTCTTTTATGTACTAACATTTTGAGTCAACACTGCTTAGCTAAAGCTCATTTAATGAAAATATCTACTTAAGAAAATAATCAATACCCCTTTTAAATACTTTATGTACAAGCAGTACATTAGATTTGATGGAAGACATAATGAATGTTTTAATATGGTCACTGCCTTCACGCAGCTTAAATTGTAATGGAAAGAGTTGAACCCATTGGACCATTAAAGTATGATTAAACCAATATATAATTATGTATGAAATCCTGTGATGCAGACCCTTAATTATGAGTGGTCATGGTTCCTTTAGAACGTGGACTGTGGTAGAAGAAGGAGCTCTGGAGAATGGTGGCCCTTTCCTAAAGTCATTTTATCCTGTTCTAGAAAGAACGGATTTGAATTAAAAACATTTTAATGTTGCCACAATTTTCAGAACTGGGGGAATGGTAATAAATTTTAATATGTAATAAAAACTAATATGTAAAAATCTGTGTGGTGCTTAATATATTAGGCACTGTTTTAAGTGTTTAAGCATGTTGATACACTGAACATGTTAAAAAAATTATCATTTTACAGATGAAATTAAAGCACAGAGAATTTAAGTAACTTCTTTAAAGCCATGTAGCGAGTAATGGATGTCTTAGTTACTTTTCTCTCATTGCTGAGACAAAATACTTGACACCCCAAATTAAGTAATGACGGTTTCTTGGTTTTTTTTTTGTTTTTCTTTTTTTTAAATAAAAGGAGGATAACATTAACAGACAGACAACCTGTTAAAAAATAGCAAAAGAACAGTACAGACAATACAGAGTTACAAACAAAGTGG